CACAAAGCTCCATGGATTCTAAAGACCACACAACCCTCCCCGAAAAATCCATCGTCGACTCTGAAGACGACAAACCAATTGCCCCAGAAAAATCTCGAGACGAGGAGGACGACGACGACCGCAAGAAATACACCACCGACGAAAATGAAAATCCGAAAAACGACGACAAAAAATCTTCGAACACGAGAGATCAAGAAGACAACAAAATTGACACCGTCTCATCCCCCAAATCTCCATCAGACTTCGACGGCACCACCGCCCTGGATGCCAACGAGCAGAATCCCGAGCCCTCATCATCTCCACCGGATCTCACCCAAGTGTCGGAGGAGATTGATAATTTCGTCTCCTCATTGCTAAAACACTCACCATTACAAGAGCACGACGAGGACAGCCAGCTGCCCGATGTCCCAATCTGCGTCGAGCAATTTGTTGTCCTCGTCGAGGCCAAGGTCAAAGACTACGAGTCGGGCGTGAAATGGAGCCAGCTCGCTAAGGAAGATTCCGACTCGTTCATCGAGTCGGTCAATCGTCTCTCCTCACTATCAAACGAACTCATGAAATTCTCAACCGAGGATAAGTACGCGTGCTCCATCAACATTGTCGGTGGTGTCCTGCAACGCGCCATGGCGTACCTCGAGGAGGAGTTCAAGTCTCTCCTCGAGGATCATCACGAGGCAAATGACCCGAGTCCGGATCTGCAGGATCCAGACCCGGATACAGAGCCTAAAGAGGAAATAATCAACACCAATAACAACATCACTGTATGCGGGTATTCGGATCAGGTCTTGTCGGACCTGATCCGAATATCGCAGGCGATGGTCTCTGGGGGACACGAAGCCGAGTGCCGCCACGTGTACTTCGTCGCGAGGCGGAACTTTCTCGAAGAGAGACTCCACAAGCTCGGCTTCGGAAAACACAGCATCGACGACGTGGTCCACAGGATGAAATGGGACACGTTGGAGCGCGAGATCGAGACGTGGATCTGTATATTCCGCCACTTCATGTCAACCGAGTTCCCTTCGGAGAGGAAGCTCTCAGACGCCGTGTTCCCGAAAGCTTCTGGAGACCTCTTCGCAAGCGTGGCACACGAGGTCTTGGCTCGACTACTCAACTTCGCGCAGGCCGTCGCCCTCACGAAGCGCGCGGCTGAGAAGCTCTTCAAATTCATCGACGTGTACGAAGCCCTGCGCGACGACCTCCCTCCTAACGACACCCTATTTCCAGACGAGACGCTGGCTCAGATAAAAACCGAGGCCTCCATGATCCGTAGCCGGCTCGGGGAAGCCATGATCTTGATATTCGCGGAGCTGGAGAGCTCGATTAAGTCCGACACGGGTAAATCGCAGGTCCCCGGCGGGGCGGTCCACCCGTTGACCAAATACACGATGAACTATCTTGAATACGCGTGCGAGTACAAGAACACGCTCGAGCAAGTGTTGGGGGAATCGGGTTTTCAAGCGCAAGTGACGAAAGTTCTTGACTTGCTCGACTCGAACATGGAAGGAAAGGCGCGTCTTTACAAGGACCCGTCTTTGAAATCGATATTCATGATGAACAACGGTCGATACATGTTAAAGAAGATAAAGGGTAAAGAAGTAAACGGGTTGATAGGTGACGGGTGGTACCGGAGGAAATCATCTGACATGAGACAGTACCACAAAGGGTACCAAAGGGAGACGTGGGGGAAGCTGCTCGGGTGTTTAACTCCGGAAGGGCTAACAGTGAACGGGAAAGTTGTGAAGCCGGTTTTGAAGGAGAGGTTCAAGAGCTTCAATGTGATGTTTGACGAGATACATAAGACGCAGTGCGGATGGGTGGTGGGGGACGAGCAGCTGCAGTCGGAGCTGAGAGTGTCGATATCGAATATGGTGATACCGGCTTACAGGTCTTTTTTGGGGAGGTATAGCCAGATTTTTACGCCAGGTAGGCAGACGGAGAAGTATGTTAAATATCAGGCGGAAGATATAGAGACGCATATAGACGAGCTTTTCGACGGGACGGTGACTCCGATGGGAAGGAAGAAGCAATGAGGGGCAGGAAAAAATTCATTTGGAAGTGATTAGTTAATTAATCTTGTTTTTTACTTTTTTGTGGTGTGCATTTTTATTGTTAGTGTTATTGTTCTGAGTTCAGTGATATATGGGCAATGGAGAAATGTATGCATAGATCGATGTTAGGTTAGTTGGACGTGGCAGTGAATTTTATATTGATNTATCTCACAGAACGATGCAATTTATGTTTCATTTATTTTATTACTTCAACTTGTTACATTTTTTGCTGTATGGTCTCTGTTGCTTTGAACGTGATTTTTCTTTTTCTTATCTTTGATGATCTTCACCATTTTTAGTGCAATTAATGTTTGTAACCATTGTACCATTCTATTCTGAGTTATGGATTCACATCAATACACAAGTGATCTTTACCTTTGTGGCTGGAGCCAAAATCCAAGGAAAAACAGGCCACAAGATCCGATTTGTGGCTGCCGAACAAAACTGATCATGATGATGAACATGCTGAAGTTACAGAGTGCTTCAGAGGAAATTAAGACAAAATGATGCACATACACTACAAAAAATATTTAAGAAAAAGGTCCCACCGGGAGTCGAACCCAGGTCGCTGGATTCAAAGTCCAGAGTGCTAACCACTACACCATGGAACCGATTTGAAATTAATTTGGTTATAAACATTTTTGATAATATATAACAATAACTAACTAATAATTCTGCAAATAAGGTAATTATATATAGAAAATAAATTAAAAACAAAATTAAGAATTGGGGAAATCATTAGAGAGTAGAGACACCTTTATGCTTGGCTATTTTTGTTGGAACAAATAAAAAAAAATTATGTTTTGATTATGTTTCATTTAATTATTGTTTTTTTTTTTCATTTAATATTGTTAAGCTGTATGCACTGCGAGAAAATAATCTATACTTATATTAAAGGGGTACTATTTACTAAATTAAGTAGCCAGAAAAGTAAACAGCATTTATTGCATTACTATTTCCGTATTATATTATATAAAAGGATATTCTATTTACTACATTTATTATCCAGAAAAGTCAACTGCATTAAATGTCATTACTATTTTGGTATTATAATATTTTATTTATTTAATTGATTTATTTATTTGTTTATTTTAAAAAGGTAAGTATAATAAAATGATTTTAATAATAAAAAAATTAAATACCAAATAAAAATGTACACTTTGACTTATTTGATTATATTTGGTATTTGATTATACGAAATATATTTCTATTTAGTATATACATTAAATACTTACTAAAGTATTTATTTATTTTATTTGTCAAAGTTAAGTATAGATTTGTTTATATTATCAAATCATAAAAAATATTAAATCCATATTGTAAAAAAAAAAAATCATATAATTTTATAACAATTCTACTACACTATTTAACAATATTCCTTTTTTATTATATAATAAAATAATAGTTAAATATTACATGGTGAACAACAATAAGTAAAACTGTTACTTTTTCTTATATCAAGGGATAAATTTATATGCTAAAATTAAATTTTTATTAATATAAATGTTTTAGTGAGATAATATATTAATTATTTTACAAGCTAGCCCTAACATGCTCATATTTAATGTTTTAAAAGATGTAGAAAAAAAACTTATAATAACTCTATTGTTTTTTAGACTTAAACGTTAATTAAAAGAGGTAAAAATTCCTAATTTTTTAGACTTAAACGTTGATTAACACCATAGATTGAGAGTTTATATTTAGTAAAATTCCTAATTGTAATTAAAAAATTAATTTTTGCTATATTTTAGAATATCTTTAAATTCATTATTAAAAAAAAAAAGAAAAAAAAACTACAATAAAAAAAACAAGTCAGCTATATATCGATTTGTTGTACTCCTCAAATCACATTCACAAGTTACAAGGAAATAAAACTCATTGATTAAAATATTATTTTGTCAGTAGTCTTAATGTACAAGAGACTTTAAGACTCCACTTGAATATTATAAAATTTTATTGAACATCGTACAATTTCTTGCGTATTATAAACTTTTATTGAATATTGCATCTTATAATATAATATTCTCCAAATAAATATATCTCGCGGGTCACGTACTATATATATTCCGTACATTTTTCTTTATTCATGTATATAATTATAAGTCTGGATAAATAGCCTTAAAATTGTGCATCCGTGCATCGCACGGGCTCTGTACTAGTTATAATTAACGCCAATATTTAAATTTATGTGAATAAATGATAATTTTTTTAATAGTTTTATTTATTTCATTTAAAAGATAATTTGAATAAGAAGGAAAAAGTTAATTATGTGAAAAAGAATTGAAAAAAGCTAAGCACATGATTACGACAATTGGAGGCAAAAATAAAATGAGATGATTGTATTCAAGAGAAAAACCGGTCCAGGGTCCACAACCAAACCACAATGCGGGACCCACCACTCCGTTAAACCAGTAGGGAGCTGCCACATCACCTTGACCTCACTGTAAAGCGTGAATCTTCGCATTGCATATCACTGTTCCG